AAAGATACAATAATATGTTGAACTTGCACAAGGCGAGAACAGTGCCGTGGTTACTAGAGGTGGGAAACGGGGAGGGGGAGGGACTAGTGAGAAACTAGTTAATAGACACAAGGAATGGTGGCCCTTTGTAATGATGAACATGCTAATTATCCTGATTTGGTCATCAGACATTGTCCACAGGTATTGATATTCAATTCTGTACCACACAAATATGGTTAATCAATTATTTTTCAATAAAAAAGAAAGAAAATATGATCCTCAAATCAGATGTCCAAACCAGCCAAAAAACTAAATAATTAAGTAGATTTAAGTCTTGCTACCACTAATTTGCCTTCTACAACAACACAATGGTTAAGTTTCCATAAAATCTTTGATCCAAAGCCTACGTTGCAAGATGTTTCTGGAAGACAGAATCAGTGGGGGACATTGTTGGAGGACCATCTGAAATAATGGCTGGGGACAGCCACTTGATACAAAGTTGTTTGTAATATCTGGGTTCCATCACTGGTTCAGTTTATTTGTTCCCATTGAACACCTCCTGCTTTTGGACTCTCTGTGTATGGAGCCTATACAAGTAGCTTCAAGGACCCAGAGACATGGTAGTGGCTTGTCACCTCAATCTGACTAATATAGAGTTTCAACAAATTCAGGAAAAGTTATAAGATAATAGAAGATAGTGCAGACTAAACATGATTTAACTTGAATAATCTAGATCCTTGCTACTCAAAGTGTGGTCCGTGGACTAGCAGCATGGGCATTGCCTGGGAGCTTGATAGAAATATAGAAGCTCAGACCCGACCCCCGACACAGAAGCTACATGTGAACAAGATGCCCAGGTGATTCATATGTGCGTTAAAGTCTGCGAGGTACTCATTTAAATTAGATTGAGGCTGGGCTGGTTAGCTCAGTTGGTTAGAGTGCCACTTTGTACCAAGATCAAGGTTTTGGTGCCCCATGCCAGCCAGCTGCAAAAAATAAATTAGATTGAGGCTAAAATAGCCTTTTTTGTTTGTAACTAAAAAGAAAAAATTGAATTTACATAATTATATAAACTCATTTAAAGGAGAAACTATTTACAGAAACCATGGTGATTCCTACTGCTGAATAAAAAATTCTATTTATCATTTAAAAAGCTTTCCTTTTTGTAGTTTGGTTTTCCTTAAATTAGGATTTATTTGGAATTGCTTTACTTTTCCACTAGCTTTTGCTAGGACAGGCTTCAATGAAACGTTGAAGAACCATAGCTGTTGTGCTGAATGGGCCTCCTGGTCAAAGACTGAACCTAAATAAATCCCGTTAGGGAACATAATAATATCCCTCCCTACACAAGCAAAGCACAGCTGACTGCCCAGTAAACCAGCAGTGCCTCTTGGAGGAATCTCAATCAGTCCTACCATGCAAGGCCCTTTGATGGGCTCTTAGCTTACTGTGAGGTTACACCCCTTGTCTGCCTCATCACTAGACTCACCCCCTGAGGGCAGAGCTGTCTTCTCTGGCATTATAGCCTAAGTGCTGAGAACAGGATCTGCCATGTATTAGGCCCTTAACACAAATTTATTGAATATGTGAATGAATGAATGAGGGTCCAGAGTGGGAGGAAAATGTCTAATCTCACTGTTTGCAGAAGTTCTCCTAGTCAAATTGTGGCAGTCCCTGATGTGCCACACATATCCAAGCCCCTGCCAAAACACTGTGGAAACGTCGATGTTAACAAACCCAGCAACGACCGGCCCCACCAGGGGGAGATACAAACTGTGTTCACAAATAGAATGCCTCCCTTCTGTTATTCCAAAGTGGTTGTTTCATTGTCCAGAGCAGGATGAGATCAGGATGGACATTCCCCATAAGGGTGGCCAGCCATCTCATCAAGCCAGGATTCAGGGGTTTCCAGGGTGTGGGACAGTCAGTGCTAAAACCAAGAAAGCTCTCGTTTAACTGATCACTCTCCCCATAACAGGGACCCATAGACTCACGAGCACAGACAGGAAGCTCCTGACTCCATTTTCCTTCCTCAGTGCATTTAACAGAATTAGTCCCATTCAGGTAAAACCTGCAAAAGGAAAATTTAATCTCTCAAGCAGTAAGATCATCCATCATTTGCATTTCAAATGTCTTCTCCATTGAGCATTGCTTCTTATTAATACCATTGACTTCTGTCCATATGATAATGCTGTTTTCCTGAGGATCTTTACACTCATCTAGGTCTTATCAAGTCTCCCGGCCAATACTGCAGGTGAATTGCTGGAGGGTTCCATAGCTGCTGAGTGTAAAAGCCAAACCCCTAAATCCCTCATCTCCAACCTGTTGGCCAACTTAACTTTATGTAAAAACAAAAAGCAAAGAACCGTTGCTTTTTCAGAATGACAAAAGTAAATCAAAATAAGTAACCTCTGCTATTCATTTTCTTAGA